GGTTTCTCACTATCTTCCTTTCATTAAATGAGCATCTTTTCTGAATACCGTACTGAGGATTGCCATGGAAGAGAGGTAGGTGCCTTGAGATAACACTTTGTAAAGGGACAAAATCCACTGAGCAGTTTATTACTCCCTCTCCAAGCCTTCAACCAGAAAGCCTTATTAATTCCAGGGTGGGGACTCAAAACAGTCTCTCATTTTTTTTTTTTGCTTCTTTTTGTTTGTTTCTTTGTTTGTTTGTTTGTTTTTCGAGATAGAGTTTCTCTGAAGCTTTGGAGTCTGTCCTGGAACTAGCTCTTGTAGACCAGACTGGCCTTGAACTTACAGAGATCTGCCCACCTGGCACATGCCACCACCTCCCAGCTAGTATCACATTTCTTAGAACCCACACCTTCAATACAACAGCTCTTCCTTTTCTCTTCTAAGCTCCCACCTATGACGATAAAATAAAATACCTTTTTAAACTTGCTCTCCCATTGTATATGAATTCCATTCTTATTTAGCTTTTTTATTTTATTGCTTTATGTATATGAGTGTTTTGTGTTGTGGAATATTCCTTTACACTGTATTGAAATGCATCACTGTAATTGGTTTAATAAAAACTAAATGCCCAATAGCTAGGCAGAAGGTACAGGTAGGAATTTTGGCCATAGAAAACTGTGGGAAGAAGAAAGGAAGAGTCACCAGCCAGACACAAAAGAAGCAAGATCAGAGTAAAATTAACCAAGCTATGTAAAAGAGTGTAAATTAAAAATTGGGTTAATTTAAGTTTTAAGAACTAGTTAGGAATAAGCCTAAGCTAAGGCTGAGCTTTCTTTCTTTTTTTTTTTTTTTTTGATTTTTAGTGAGCTCTACATTTTCTCTGCTCTCCTCTCTACCTATCCCCTTCCCCCTTCAACTCTCCCCCAAGGTCCCCATGCTCCCAAGTTACTAAGGAAATCTTCTCTTATTATACTTTCTACTTCTCATGTAGATTATTAGATCTATGTAAGTCTCTCTTAGTGTCCTCATTGTTGTCAAGTTTTCTGGGATTGTGGTTTGTATGTTGGTTTTCTTTGCTTTATATTTAAAAACCACCTATAAGTGAGTACATATGCTATTTGTCTTTCTGGGTCTGGGTTACCTCACTCAAAATAATGTTTACTAGCTCCATCCATTTTCCTGCAAAATTCAAGATGTCATTATTTTTTTCTGCTGGGTAGTACTCCATTGTGTAAATGGACCACATAATTAATAATAAGTCTCAGAGTTATGATTTGTGGGCAGGTGTTCCAAAAAGAGCCTTCTACAGTTTGGCCTGCATGTATGTCTATATAGCATTTGTGCTTCTAGTGCCTTCAGAGGTCAGAATTGGGGATCAGATTCCCTGGAAATGGAGTGGTAGATGGTTGTGAGCTACCACATCCATGGGAATTAAACACTGGTTCTTTGTAACTGCTCTAGTTACAGCCAGTTTTCCAGCCCTAAATTTCATTTCGTTAAATCCACAAAACATAAATCCAGAAGCCACAGACTGTGTGACTATGAGTGTCTCTCACCTAATTCTTATGTTAAAGTATATTTGTGCCTAGGAAAGTTGTAACATTCAGGGCTACCCTACTTTCATTTGTTCAAATCAAGGTTCTAGTCCCCTTTCACCTGTCTGTTTCCTCTCGAAAACCTTCCTCATTCCAAGCAATAAAACCATCCTGGCAGATATTCTCAAAGGTACTGTGGCCATTCCTTTGGCCACTAGATTTTTGAAACAACAGATCCCAGAAATTGAAATTTCCCCAGAAGCATCATTCTGGGAAAAGAACGAGGGCGAAAGCAGCCAGAAGAAGAACCTGACTGCTGAAGATAT